ACACAGTGTGCCACGAAAGAATAAAAATTTTTTCTTTGATTAATGCAACATATTAAAACGACACTGGATTAAAATGAAATTTGATCCTCTTTTAATGTCTCTGAAACCCACACTCTTTTATTAACCCAAATCCCCAAAACGGCGTCCTCCAAAAAATACTAAATAGAAAAAGTTTTATTCTTTCGTGGCACACTGTGTGTACGTGCTTGTAAAAAAAAACCAATGAAAATGTTCGAAAATTCAGATCCAATCATATCACAAGAAATTTGGGGCTGACGCGACCCATCGACAAATGCCTATTTTAACTCTTTGTATGTTGATGCAATAAGATAGATCAATATTTATTGGTTAATAAGAGATGAGAATTATAGAAGATTGATAGAGACAAGCTTGCATAGCCCAAGCTTGTGAAAATGCCTCAGGCACATTATATCCGGTAACATCAAAAGGATATATCAAGACCAAGGCATGAACAATCTAATTCCAACTTCGGCAGGCCTTGCGATTTACATGTGAAGCATCTTTTTATTCAAAAATTTCTGTAGTCTGATTATAGAACGAGCAATGATTTCGACATTGTTAATAAAACTGATTACTTGCATTTTTCGGGATAATAGATTAAACATACAAGTCAAACCTGTTTAAACCGGCGGACCTGGTTTGCCGGTTTAGCCAGACCGCTTCAGACAAATGTTTGGCTAGAAAATTATGAAAATTCGGGACAGTCGTGAGACCGGTTCAATCAGCACCGATTAAAATATGTATTACCGTTTTATAACCTACATGTGTAATTCAAATAATAATATATTTAATTTGGGCTTTGAGCGCATTGTCTCCTATTGTAGAAAGACGTCAGCGACAACGACAATTGTTCAAATGAGAACACAGCAGCTTAAGATCAAAACGGGAAACTCTGAGCAGTAGAAAATATATGCATAAACAATTGATTAACGAATTACTCAATAGGCCATAAGAAAGGAGGCCTTATTATTTAAATGAGTGTAAAGTATAATGCATCCAGGATGAATCCACTTCCGCTTTATTTCTCATTGGTGTCAAGCGAAAATCGTATTCCAAACAAATATACAATATCTAAAGATAAAACACGTCAAAAAAAAACAATAAAAATGGGCGCTGAATCGTTTACTACCAAGGCTAATGCTAATAAGGGACTCCAGGTAAATACATAAGCGATTACAAAACTCCCAATGGATCTTCTGCAGCAGTATATGGAGCAGAAGTCATGCTTTTTGGTCGGGGATGAGTTGATGAATCACTTTCTGATCGCACTTTGGTAGCCTTCGTGGCTGAAGCTCCGAGTGGATCGACCCGACCCGATTCTTTTTCAGCAATAACGGGTGCAATTGGGATTGTCGGCGTCAGCGGACTACGCGTCTTTTTCTGTGCAGCGGACGGCGAACTCATATTACTGAAAGGATCTTCATCAAGAATTGGATTATCTAGGTTAGATGTGTTCAAACTCAACCGATCAGCAGGGTGAGTACTTCGTTTTCGATTAAACAGTGAGTTATCATCCTCTTCAATCATCCAACTGTACTTTGAACTAGAAGCAATAGTTGCCTTTGGTTTGATCGGTCTACCTTGGGGATCACTGTTTTCAATCTCATTAAAAACGTCATCAATATTCATACGCTGTTTAGGAATTGGTGTTGACCTAGTATACGATGTCATTGTTGAACTGGATGTATTCTTTGAATCTGAAACTGTAGAAGTATGTAAAGATACTGGCGTTGCTGAATAAACGGCAGAAGATTGCTGTGAATCGAATGATGAAGGCGGTGAGGGATTGCGAAGAGGCCTCTTTGATATATTGTCGGTCATTGAAGTCGTTCGCTGAGAAGCTGGAGATGTTAATTTCTCCTGTTTCTGTTGTGTAACTTCTCTATTTACTGAATTCGTCTCGTCCTCCTCGCCAGCAAGGCTTACAACACTGACCACACTGACCTGGTCATCTAACACTTCCCAATGATCATGATCATCTCCGCTATGATGTAACGCATCCAAAACATTAGGATTAAATTCTCTTACGGCACCACTAAGAACATCTCGCACGTGTTTGAGTCCTGCTAGTGCATGCAGTATAGAAACTTCTCCCGGTGTCGATGTCGCAGATTCTTCATTGTTACTGGGTCGAACATATTCAAAAGACGAACGAGGGGTTGATCCATCTGAACTTTTTTCATTTTTTTCAGCATCTCCATTATTGCTATCATTCATCTTTGCCCGAACAAATATTTCATGCTCAAGAATATCAACACTTTTTTGCATGATTATTGCCATCTGGCGGTTTTGTTCCCGCAATTTCGAGAGCTCATCGGATAGTTGAGACTCTGAATGCGTAGAATCTGTCGACGATGATTGGTGGTGAGTAGAATTGAATATCGAATATTTCGTGGGAAAGTCCGTTGCCGAGGTACGCCGTCGGTTCTCATGAGGTTCTGGGCGACGCAGGACGTTCTTCTAGTGACCGGAGACGACAGCATGTTAAATCGTGCGACTAAACAAACTTACACTCTACAAGAAATTACCTTCACTTCTCCCACAGCCCCTACTGCTGTGAGAATAGCCTTGTTAATAGCCCGATTGTCAAATACATTCTTGGTTACGTGAACAAAACCGTCTGGCACGAGTCCCTCTATGAGCGGTCCGGAAGAGATCGAACTACGGGCCGAGTTACGTTCTACCGGCATTGTTGGAGGTACGTCCTTGCCTGTTCGGATTGCGTTCTGTCGGATTATATGGTAACCCCCTTCGGGAGATAGATGCTCGAGAAGATACTTGGCCTGGTCGACGAGAAAATCAATCCCCGGAGTTTGCGGGTAACGCATCAGCATGCTCAAGCAGCCTGCATAGTCAGAGGCCAACACTTCAACAAGAACGCAATCAATTAGTAAGTACTTGGAAACTCGATTGAAAAACAACCGGCTTAATACATACAGTCATCTCGAATTAGCATCATCATTGCCACACAAAATGAGCAAACTTACATTGGAACAGGCAAAGTATGTAGCGAGAATTAGTTTCCAAAGATAATGTCGGCAAA